ATAGCAAAACTTGAATACTGGTGGAAGTAAATATTGAGATATGGAGGTCTGCTAATATGTCCTTTGAACAAAACTATCTCGACGTGTATGTTAATTTTTGTTGGGACACGTGACTGAATATAACTCAAATGTTGTCCCTCTCTAATCAGATTTATAAATTTCAATTTATTCTCAACTACCGTACAGTAAATAAGATTGTATACGATGAAGCCTCGCAAAGCTTTCAGAATATTCGTGAGGGATTGGTATCTGGCGGTGCCTGAGCCGTACCTCTTCTACCGCTTCCTACCCGACAGGGAACACATACGATCTTTTTCCTTAGATACAGCCACCCAAGTCGAACACTCTTATTGAATAAAATTTGTAGTGGCAACAGTTTGTGTAAAAAGGACAATTTAATGAATTAAAGATATCTGCCAATACATATGAAACAATACCTCTCCAGACACCTTCAGTATTTAGAGCTCACGTAAGAGAGTAAATAGGCGAAGGTAAAACCGTCCCGGTGATTACATTAATTACCAGCTAGGATAGTCGTCCGTGCTTCCAGGTTTGCTGCCACAGTTCAGGCTCTTTAAGACAAACATCCACTCAGAACTCCAAATATCAGAACTGACCTCCCCACCAGCAACACCAACTTGGGGCAGTGGCTCCTTCAAGAGACAGTTGTGTACATAGCAATCATGTCGTTGTCACCTGATTGCACAGGTGACGCCACAGGAATTAACCCTTGGTGCAGTACCTAAAAAAAATTCTCAACCCAATTCTAAATTTCCGAATATTTTGTTTCCTGGTCGACCTCACCATATTCCCCAGTGTTTTTCTTACAGGTGAAACCTCTAGGTAATTAGGTCCCTTTTATCGTTGTAATCAGTCAGGTAATTAGTAACTCCCTTATTAGTGCCCCTACAACACACTCCATATATCCGGTTAATTAACTACTGTATATAATACTTTTTTCGATAAATATCTGGTGTTTATTTAGTTGTTCTAGCCAGTCATAGCACTTATTCATTTGTGCTTTATGCCGATATAACTTATACTTAATATTTTGGGGTAAAACCAAATTCCGAAGGGTTCTACTGCTATACTGCTGACCCATGTAAGAACACTGGCCGTATGTCTCATTTAGAAGTCTTTTTCTCAAGCTATAATCAAAGCCCTTCCAACAGATCTCTAAGTCTATTTTTTTACTGGGTTTTCTTGAATAAATATTGTTTTGAATTGTCTCTCATACCTATTACCATATTTTGTGTTATTTCCCAATACACAAAATTGTCCACCTCTTCATATTCAATGGAAACCACTATTACTTCTGCGTTTACTGTACAGTACTGACTCTAAACCCATAGTCATCACATTTTTCCATTAATCTATTGACCAGTTTTTTTATAACCCCAGTTCAATATCTGTTACAATATCAGTATTCTTTGTAGATGTGATATTTGATATTACTTACATAGCTACAGAACACTCACTAAATAGCTATGTATGTGTTATAATTTTAAAGATATCACCCACTCCATCTCGTCTTGCTTTCTGTCTACCTATAAACCAACAAGCTCCTTATTTACTAACACGGTAGGTTACTGATGCCAGAAAAAAAAAATATTTGCCTTATTAATTCGTTTTCTTCAGACATATTCAAGTTAGGATATTTATGAGCTACGTTTTCATGTGTCTCTAGGGGGATACACAGACCAGGTAGTGATACATACATTGCACAGATCCATTTACATGCATATTACTAGTCCCTGTACAAAGCACGTAGTAAACACACATATGTACACGATTATGCTCTTGAGTTCGGATGCAATAGACGTTGTTAAAGTGTTTACGAGAAGTGAGCTCACCATGGACGGCACAGAAACGTCCACAGGAAGGAATGTATACATTTACCGAGGTGTTAAGAGGATACATGGGGTGATGTCTTTGTACAGTATGTGTAAATCGTGAAAACAACAAGAAATTTTGACCTTTGGTGCAACCTACATAAGTGTATAATATTTAACTTCGATGTGACTACCCTAACCAAATGTACACTCGGAAACCATATTCTCTAGCCCACCTGGGTCGGTGTTGAGGTTAGTACAGTGCACAGTGCACTGTACACACACACACACAGTGCAACTTTGTGTGACGCGTTGTCTGACTTGGGGTGGCTTTGAGCGAACCATACACTTGATATTACAATTTATGTATCCTTCCTGTCCATGATTTACAACAATAACTGTAGGTAAAAAGTTACAATATTATACTAATAACACTGTCATGTATTGATACTATGACTAGTTACCAAGATACAGAGCACGATGAACATAACATGATATCGATAGTGAAGCCTGGAAGGGTTCATATCATAACTTATGTGTTCGTGCTTATGTTGCCCCGTGAGAGTTACCGTGGCCTCCATGTGCCCAGGTGGGTTGGTCAAAGTATTACACTATAAGTGTGTCAAATGAGTGACTGATTCACATGTAATTTAAGGTTTTTGAAATATGTAGTTAAATTATACACGATTTTTCATATAGTTACGCAAATGATGGGGTGTGGTGGAAGCATCGTGGCCTGAACACACACACACAAGCGCTGTAAACGTTGTGTGGACTCACTGGGTGGTTTGGAAGTGTTTATTTCCATTCATACTTTCGTAACTACAACCTATGGTATTTTTCTTCGTGTTCATATATAATGAAGATAATGCAGAGTATAAAATGCCATATACAATATTTATACATAATGTCATCTATACAGCTGTACTATGACTGTGTGTGTTCGTGCATGTGTTGCCTCGTGATAGTTAGAGTGGGCCCCGTCCAGAAAGGACACTGTACTAACCTCCAGCACCGACCCAGGTGGGCTAGAGATTATGGTTTCCGAGTGTACTCGTCATATTCCTTCTTATGTGGAACTTTTACTGAATGGTTAACTCTATAGCCAGAGGCGTCAAGTAACACTAATACTGTATTAAGAGCCCATACATTGGCAGATAAAGTACAAGGTGTCCATGGCTGACGTTGTGTTTTCATAGAAGCTCAGTGTCTATGAGTACTATGATTTCAGGAATAACTGACGTCAGTGGCACTTTGGAAGTGAATTTCGTCGTGAAATCTGTGAATCCCAGCATTCGATGATATTTCGTTCTGGAGTTATGGTGAAAATTCTGTTTTTTTATATTCGTTTACCATGATTTGACATTTTGACCTTGGCATCCGAAAATAGTACAGTGCTTACTTCATACCCAGCATAACATATCTATGCGGTTTGGTCAGGTTTGGTCGAGTTGTTGAGATTTGTTTCATTACATTATTGGCGATGGTGAGAGAAACACAGAAAGAAAGACACACCGACAGAATCTTACCAATACCGCATATACTCTTTCGTGGTCCAGGTAAGATGATATTTGGTGTAATTTACAGTGAGAAATTATATTCAAGTTGGTGAAAAATGAAAATAATTGTTATCCAATGAAATGTATACAGCCCTCCACCCCCACACACACACAAATATAGTGTGTAAAATTTTGATCTCGAGCCTGGTGAAAATTATATTAGTTCCCTCTCAGTGATGCCTCTGTGTCTCCGGGAATGTATACTATTACGGAGGATTTAGAAGCCCAGCTCAAGGTTACACATGGTTGTCTGTTGGAGAATTTGCACTCCAATTTCATGAGTGCACCGACATTTTAAATTGTGCATCATTGTTAGTTTATGTGAGATTCGTACAGAACGGAGACTTTTTATAAGACTTACTGTGTTATGTGACCTTAATAACAAACACAACAAGGTTAGAGATATACAGATTACTGCATCATTGTATAGTTGGGAAATACAAACTGGATGTGGGCTAATTGCAATGGAATTACAAGTGATGGTGCGGGAAACTTGACAGGTGGAAGATGTAGCAAGTAAAGTATTTGAGGCAACGGTAATGATATAAATTGGAATAATGGTTCTAGTCACAGCAAAGGGTTAGCGTCGTTAATAGTTTTAAGGTGGTTGTGAAGGAAGTGGTATGAATAATCAATATCATTAAGGGAAGTTTACTTAAGGATCGGGTTTTTGGAGCGCTATGTTTCGAAATGTAATCCGATTATTCTCATTTACTTTATCAAACTGATGGTGGGTGTTACGGGAAGGCTCTTACAGGAGAATTTATATTTTCTTCTCGATATAAATATTCTGATTTATTTTGTAATGGCAATTGGTTAATGAAGTTACCATATCTGTATAACATTTGTTCATCCCTGAGTGAACTTAATTTGGAGATACAAGAAAGAGATAGTGATTTGTTTGGACATTGTGAACAAATCCAAGCTTTTGAAAAGTCATTACTACTGTGGCAAGACAGACTTAGAGATGATGACACAATCTACTTCATCTTTCCTACACTGTTCCAACACACTTAACAAAACAGCATCAATGAAGATTTTTTTTTTTTTTAGAAATGAAATGAACGATACAGTTACATCTTTCTGCTCTCTCTATCAATTATAGTCACTATTTTTCCAGAAAACATGTCTGAAGTATTGAAAGAAAAGCATTGAGCGAAATATCATTTTGCTTTTGAGACTCCCGATTCTATTATTGAGTTAAAATTGACAACTGGACAAGCAAACGAGCTGCTCCATCTCACCTGACTGTACACTGACGATGGAGAACAGGTAATGAACTTTTGTCATTGTTTTGGATCAGAGTTTCCAATGAATATCTTCTGAAATAAGTTGAGTATTTTGTTGTTAAAAAGCAAAGAAAAGAAAAGAACAGAATTAACAGTACAGCTTGTGTGTATAAAATTTTCGACGTGAAACAGACAGGACGAAAGTAACGAGCAACAGGTAGGCTCACATTCAGCATGTTAATATCAAACTGATCTTTGTATCCTTGCTGGGTATTTGCTGGAATATTTGTTTTATTAATGTTTATGTTTAAATGAGGTTTAATAAATGAAATCAGCATAGCTATAAATTTTGCTTTATGACCAGTGCTCCTCTTTTACAGCCTAAAGGTATGCATTAACGCTGTAATCAGTAAAATTTCTTAGATGTTAATTACAAGTATTGTTAATAAAACTTTGACTTTGGTGCATACATTTGTCTGTGATAGGCTGAGCGTTTAATATCGTCATGGTTTTCGTGCGCACCGAGAACTATTAAAGTGCGGGTACTTAAACTGATTCCCCCAGAGAATATTAATATAGGCTTGTATGAGGAGATTCACTCTAACGTAGCGTAGTGTAGGATGGTCTACAAGGTAATGTAGTCGTTTGTGTAGGTCTTTCCATAAATTAAAGGGTCCATCAGGCGGAGAGCGGCCCCACCTAACACAATTATCTCTGTTTATGATCATGTTAACCTTTTTTTCTCTCTCTCGGCCTCCTGGAAACTGCTTCTTCAGCCTCTCACAACCACCACATTAACTTGGCGCTCGACCACTACCCCACCCTAACCTGGTACTCGACCCCTACCACCCCCCTAGCACTCGACCACCACCACCACCACCCCTCTAACACTCGATCACCACCACCACCCTAATACTCAACCACAACCAATCCTTTAACACTCTACCACCACCACCCTAACACTCGACCACCACCAACACGACTTTAACCTGGCCGCTCGACGATCAACAATTCGCCTTCTCGTAACAAGGAACAAATTACCTTCATCGTATACATCACCTGTCTAATATCGTTCGTCAGCGTTGCCTCCAGCACATTCTTCTTCAGGCGAGATATTCAGGTATGATATAGTGTTTATGACATATTACGTTACCCTTAACAAGTGATGTCTTATGGAGGAGAATTTCCCCTTGGTGTCCCGTGACCTCCTATATCAATAGCTTGGACCTGGTGCTGTTGGTGGACCTGGTGTTGTTGGTGGACCTGGTGCTGTTGGTGGACCTGGTGTTGTTGGAGGACCTGGTGCTGTTGGTGGACCTGGTGCTGTTGGTGGACCTGGTGTTGTTGGAGGACCTGGTGCTGTTGGTGGACCTGGTGCTGTTGGTGGACCTTCGTTCTGTTGGTGGCGGACTTGGTGATGCTAGTGACGTACTGTTACCTCAGTATCCATTAACCGACTTATGCTGTTATTTACAATAAGTCTAGTTTTAATATCTTGGAAGATTTCATAAATGAGTGACAAGATCTCAACTCCGATTACAACACAGCTTCAACCTCAGGCGGTACACAATAATTTACTTTCGCTCGACCTGTAGGAAAGGAAGACATGAGAAGGGTAAATAATTTTCATTAACTTTATGAATTAATGTTTGTGTGTACTGGCGGGTGTTCCTTAAATTATATTTACATTGTTTTGAAATAGTTATGTAAAATTCGGTAATGTATCTTAGGAATATAACGACCAGCGAGTAGCACCTAATCCAACAGAAGAGTTACTGGGTCCGCTACTGATATCTAAAGGAGGCGGAGCTCTTTGTTTTGCTATATACTTACCCGGTACTTATACAGTGTTTACATAACCATGTTTTTCTACCTTCAAAAACTGTTTCGTGTAATTATTTTAATTGTGTTTCAAACGATACAAAAAAGTTTTACAAAGGGGAATTGTAATATCTTTCACTCTAACATTAATTACTTTTACCAAACATGTTAATGATAATACAGGGTGCAGTGATGACGAGTGGGTGGCACTAGACGTTATAGATGATAATGACTAATAGAAGTTTTTGTCTTATTTTTCTGACTTCTCAGTTGGATGGTAAAATATTCTGCATTACTGTATGTAGCTGAGGCAAGGTAGTGCTAGTCTCGCCTTCACTATATATTGCCATAAGGTATCGTACCACTGAAAAATGTTCCTTAATCAGTCCGGCGAAATTTAAGTATAATAAAATCGCTGATGCTATAAAACTCTTAGCAATACGATTTGTTAATGTACATAGCTGTGTGATCATTATTAATGGAGGGACGGACTAACACCTCCTGTTTTAATGAAGTGGAAATGGGTGAATCAGAGATAAGGGTGAAAATGACTATTTATTTGTCAAAACTAAGATTTAAGTTTAAAAAATGGAATATCAGGAATCCAAAAAACACCTTCTGATAAATACTAAATTTCATCTTGGAAGCAGCAAGTGTCACAAAGTTAAATAGTGGATTTGTGGAGCAGGTGAAGAGCTGTTTCAGACGCTTGTGGCCTACACATGATGTACCAGACCTATTACTATGGTAAATGCCTAAGTAAACAAAAGTTTCTTACTATTGCTCCTGTAAGCGTCACGTCCCTAATATTACCCAATACACATCCAAAAATAAGACTAATAGTGATTGCTTTTTACCTTACATATTTAGTATTCGCATTAATATTTGAGTAAGCAGCACCTACTTATTCAGCAGCTCATAAAGTTACGGGGTAGGAACTTGCGTCATCACCTCGAGGAAGATTTAGGCACAGCACCGCCTGGTCAATTATCGAAGAACCATAAACAAACTATGTAAGGAAGCCCACGCGATCAAGCTGAGTCACGAGCAGCCGAGACTCCAACCTTAGTGAAGGTGAGAAGTGCGCAGACACTGTAGAGGACTGGGCATAAATATACAGGGAACAACAATGCACAAGTTACTCTTATAATCATTCTGGTTTACTATTTATTTCAGACTACAGAATTTCAAGTAGTCAATGCACGCGTTATTCACACACACCACAATCACGCCACTTTTTCCAATTTCCCCATGCTCTATCGTGGGATAAGTGGGCAGTTGGCCGAGGATGGTCGTACACTGTCTCCTGTCTCCCCACGGGGGATGGGTCAGCGGGCCGACAGTTTTGAAGATAAAGCTGAAATATGCATTATCTTCTGTCCTCCACAGAGGACTTTCTTTCACTGATAACATTGGTTACTTCGGGCACCTCAGATAGCTTCATGTATTACACAGGATGGTGTCTATATAGATCGTATTTCCTCGTTACATACTTTAGAAGTTTAGAGTATACATCAAGTGATGAAGTTTATTAGTGCATTAATATCAGTTTGTTTTAAGGTAAAATAAATGTGGCCACGTATTGTACACTGACCAAACACCAATATTGACGGGTGGGGAGGCAAATTCTCAGTTATTAGTTACAAAAGAAATGAATCTGTAGTGAGGGTTAGCGCATGACACCAGACAAATATATATTCGTAAAGTGTGAAGTAGTTTTTCACCTAATGCAGCACAGGAGAAGGTCAGCTGTGAGCGGTGACTGGATTTAGTAAATTAAATTCCGAAGCAGAAACTATTTTTCAAGTACGACTCAACGTGAATTTAAATTTTAATTGTTGAATTATACTTTTTATATAAATGAAAATTAATTTTAGATTTCATTTACCTTTATTTGCAGTCTAATTCAAGTTTCTTTAATTAAACTTTAAAAATTCATAAACCTGGGAATATGTTCCTTAAATACCGCGTTTAACAACTTAGGGAAATGATTATGTTTTACCCCCCACTCCACACACACACACACACACACACACACACACACACACACACACACACACAAAATAACGCCATTAAACTTTCTTTGTCGTTCCTGTCACCAGGAAAAAGTTACACAGTTATTTCAGTGAAGAACATCATATTGGTCAGCTGTGTCCTTTCTGCTGACACATTTAGGGTAACTACTGGAGAATGTGGAGACTAACAGAGAAAAGACACCCCAGCATGGAGGACGTTTACAGCTTGATGATGTATGATATCTTACTATCTGATGTATCCTTGAGAATTCTGACCTATTTGGTGATGAGGTTAGGTTAGGTTAGGTTAGGTTAGGATCTCCCCGATGAATACATGTGAGTGAGTTATTTCGTTGTTTGTCAAGGAGCAGTATAGGTTTATCAATGTAGCCCAACCTATTGAAGGGTAGAAAGTAGAGGAAGTGTTGACGAGTTCCTTTAGTAACCTTCTCGTCTTTAAGACTTACCATACAGGATGCAGTGTTTAATGGTTCATGATTTTAACTAAAACGGACATGACATTATTAGATAAAGGGAGGGAAAATATAAATATGGAAAAATGCGAATATGACAGAGAATTATCGAGGGTTTTGAATTCCTGCGAAGTGTGAAGTGCGCTAAAACTAAGGACCTTCACACCGAGTCCTCAGGGAGCCAACTGCATTTCCTGAGCCGTATCACCCGTCTCACGTTACCCGACCCACGCCAGGGATGACTGACGTGCTCTCGACCCTATAAAATATCACGTGCCACAATTTTCTACGTTTTTAAAATAAGGCGCACCAATCTACATGATGTGGACGCATTATATCACGTGACGACAAACATGACACTACTTACCATGACACATTAGGCACCATTAATGCCAGGCAGGAAGCGATGATCAGGCTAACTGTTACATATATCCATTTAAATCTTGTGTTAAGTTAAAGTTGAAAGTTTGTAGTCAAAATATGTTGACATGAGTTGGAGTAAGAAATTATCGCACACATTCAAGGTAAACACGAGACCTGACAAGCTGTGTCCCAGAAAAACAGACCAGCGATGTGAAAACTCATCACATTATTACCAATCGAAGTGAAAGCAGCACACACCGTTGACTGGAATGTAATCAACCTGACCAAACTCTAGAAAGCTTATACCTGCTCATCCTCATTTTTTTATGGGAATAACATTTCCTTGCAACATTATTCTATCACACAAATTCCTTGAAAAATGCGCTACTAAATATGTAAAACAGGCGGAGATATTCAGCTCGTGGCGAGGCATACAACCCAGTGTTTGGACGGGACGATGTTGAGTCGTTAAGGTCACACTAAAATATTAGGCGAGTATAGTGGTCATGGGCACGTGTTGTTTACACCTGTCTACCCCAAGCCACTACCTATGAACCACTACCACTCTGTTAGGTACCACCCTCCACATCTGTCCTCACCTAATACCACGGTGTAGTGGGTGTATGTAGTATAGATAGTGTAGTGGATGTACTGTAGGTTGTGTAGTGGATGTAACTAATAATGTTGGAGTAGTCACAGACAGGGTATGAGCTGCCCCCTCAAAAAAATAAAATAAATACCCGGGCAACGTCGGGTTTTCCAATATAAAAATAAAGTCCAGGGAATAATTATCAGACCAATGAAACGACTTGTTAAGACAGGACCTCAGATTAGTGAGAAGATGAGAGAAATTCTAATTCAACTTCTCTGTTTAATTTTCACCCCAAACACAAATATACTCGATCTCACTCCTATATTTACACTGGTGATGAAGAAGTACTTACAAATATCACTTTGGAGACATCAGGCAACATCATAAAGACCGAGGGAATGTGGTCTTAGCCCCAGCTCCAGGACCAGATATATACACAAGGGTCTCAACAGAAGGAAGTACTCGTGACAGACATGGTGCGTAAACTCAGGGTCGACCTCAAAGATTAATTAAAGATTCATTAACTTACAGGTGACGCACAACAAGGATTACAACGCAATAAATTTTGATTAAAATCTTCAACTTTCTTTAAAATGTTGACTTTTGGTGTTAGTGGTGAAATTAAGTGTCTCCAGTTTTTAAATTAATCAAGCTTCCTTTATTAAATTATTTTAGTATGACATAGCCTTCCCTAAAAATTTAAGTCACACACTTACAAATATGGTATACATATATATTCATACACATAGACATAATTACGTGCATATATTATCATACATATACGTATTTACATATTCGAACATAAACACACACACACACACACACACACCGTGCATACACGTGGTGACAGATTTTCACACACACGTATATAGAAACGTGTGTGTGTGTGTGTGAGTGAGTTATAATCTGCATCACGTAAAATAAAATTGTGTGGAATTGACAAATACAAAATGATTGTGTGAAGACGAACATAACACGTGTCGCGTCCTCCAGGCACCAACTCTCTCCACTGCTCACTCCACTGTAACTAAGCTGTCCTGTCCTTGGCTTCATCACCACATTAATTTATTATAATCTCTACGGGTCTCATACCTGAGATAATAGGAAGAGTTCGTGTGGGAAGCACTAGTGATAACCTGACTTAAACACGTTAA